TTGCTTCTTCAACCACAAGCACTGTTTGTTCCTTTCAGGGGTGTACTTGGTAGCCCTGTTGGTCTGAGACAAAAAGACATACGAAAAACTAGAACTCTTGGTTCCAAAATGATACCTTTTATTACACCAACTGGAAAATGGCAAGAAAATTGTCCTTTTCTGCAAGCTTTCGGGATCAAAGTCCCTTCATCATTTGTTCCTTTTGCATCTTTTTTAGCGATCGCCTGCACCGAGATCAGCCCAGAGGCAACGCGTTTGCGTGTGTGTCCGTGTGTGTGTGTCCATGCGGGAGAGCAGAGAGCTGCGGCAGCAGCACAAACTTTCCTGGGAGGAGGGGGCGGATCTTCCCTCCCCGCCGGGCCGCAAGCAGCGCAGGAGGGGGGAGGCTGCGAGGCGAGGGGCTGCACCGGGGGCCCAGCCCCTTTCCCAGGCGAAGGAGCCCCTTGTCCGCTCCCAAAGCTGGGCGTCGTGGGATCCGGGGCTCGGGAGCGCCGGTCGGAGGACAGAGCGACCTGCCGGGGCGCTGCTGTGGCTCTCGGCCCCTGCAAGCGGCGGGCGCCGAGCAGCAGGGGACTTGGCCGGGCGGCGAGCCCAGCTGGGGCTGCACAACTTTCAGGGACGGGCTGGTGCTGGTCGCAGCCCCTGGCGCTGCTGCACTGGAGGGCGACCGCGGTGGGGGAAGCGGCGTCTCCCCCCCGGGCCCCGCTGACATTTGGCTTCCGATTCGCCGCCGAAGTCTGCGGGACTAGTTGCACCCCCCGCGGCTGACCCCAGCCCGGTGGGGCCGGGCGTGCGGGGAGACTGCAGAAGCCGGTGCCTCTCCCCGCAGCAGCGGAGCCGCGGAAGGGGCGTCCGGGGCTGCTCCAGTGGAAGACCTCGGCGGCGGGGCTGGCGGCGCTGCCTCCGGCTATGGCTTGCCTGGGAGCCTGGCTCCGCTTCTCCTTGCTCTGGGCTGCGCTGGCAGCGCGGCCACCTCGGGCGGAAGGTGAGTGGCTCCCCCCACCATCATCCGTGGGGTGTTTTGCGCGGGATTAACTTATGACAGCCGAGGGGGGTCGGCCTGCCTGCCTTATATCACGGGCGCTATAGCATCAGCGGGGAGGGAGGTCCTCCAGGCCGTCTCCTGCGCCCCGTAGCACTGCCCCGGGCCCGGGCCCGGGCCCGAGCCCTGCGGAGGGTGGATGCTGGCGACTTCTGCCCCGCTGCGTGAGGGAATGAATGGGCGCGCAGCACGAGGGAGGGAGCGCGCCTCACAATGGCCTGCCCCGCTGGAGCCCGCGTGTGCCCGGGGCAGGGCTTACAGCGGGGGCACCATGTCCTGAGTGCTGAGGTGGCAGAGGGGAGCTGGGCTGGGCTAGGTGACCTCTTGGGGTCCCTTCCAGCTCTACTTTCCCATGATCCTGGGAAAGCCAGGGCTGAGGGGTGCGGGGAGCTGCACCCTAGGGGCAGGGCTGTCTCCTGAGGGCAGGTGGGAGGTGGGTTTGCATGCATACACTTAGGGCTGGGCTGGCAGGGAGGGACCCTCCTCCCTCCATTCCTCCCTCCCTGCCCAGCTGAGGGGTGGTCCTGTGCTGCTTCAGCTACCTGTGGCAGGCAGCTGGGGCCAGCAGCTGTGGTGGGGGATCCAGCACTGGGGCTAGACTCCACTTCCTTGTGCCACCACTCATGGCAGCCCTTGCAAGCTGGGAGGTGGCTAGTCCTGGCAAGGCGCTCTGTGCAGGGCCAGCTCATGGTACTGCCACCCTTTCCCACCTGCCTCCCAGCCCTGCCCCCTCGCCTTCTGGTCGCTGCCTGTGCAAATGTGCTGAGGAGTATGATCCTTCCAGGCAGCAAGGAAAGGGGAGAGGAAGGTTTTGCCACAAAGGAGCAAGGAGGCTGCAGACTTCTTGGCGCCCCAGGTTCATCTGGTTGGAGGGAGGGCTATGGAAGGCACCTGCATGGTTCAGGAGCCCAAGTCCCCTTGCAAGTGCATGACTAGGAGCCTGGAGCTCTTGCCAAGAAAGCCTGCTGCTGCTCCCTTGAGGGTTGCCTGCCTTGCAGTCTGCTCCAGTGCCACAGGCATGCTCCAGCTAGCTTTCAGACAGCTAAGCTGGGTACCTGGTGCAGCCTGGCCACCTGATGAAATCAGTAGGCAGCTAAGGAAGTGCCTTTTTTGTAACATAATGTATAATTAACCTGAGGAACTGACTGTCACAGGATGTGGTGGAGGGTATATAACTTGAAAAAGGGGACTGGAGATTGTATGCGCCACAGGTCTACCCTCTTGCTATTAAATACAATGGTCAGACGTGTAACTTGGCTTAGGACTCTCTAAAACCTAGGGATTGCTGGTGACTAGGAGGGGATGGTGGGCATGGATGCCCTGTTTCTTATGTCCTTCCACTGGAGGATGCTGAGCCAAAAGGACTCTTAGTCCCACCTGGTATGTCAGTTCTTAGGGCCACAGCAAAATGGGCTCAGTGTGGACTGCAAAACCTACCCTGGAAGCTAGCTTAATACTGAACTGTATATTGCCATGTACAAAGTCAGTCTGGGGAGGTTCAGAGTCAGGCTGAGTAGTCTATACACTGCTGGTCTGTGCCTAGTGTAGACATCCTTAGTGTCTCCCTTGCTCAGGTGTAAAATGGGCATAAGGATATTGACTGTTCCCAGGAGTATTCTGGGATAAGCGCACAGTGGTTGAGATGCCTGGATAGATTTTTTTTTTCACAGAAGGATCTCAGATTTTAGAAATGTAGATTTTCCCCCCTGTTTCACCGGCTGGGGAGATGGAGGTACAGTGTTGCTGAGGGCTAACTTTTCAAAAGAGGCCTCTTGTTTGGGCTTTTCTTTTAGAAGAACAGAGCTTTTATTTGACTGCATCTGGAGTTGGGTAGGTTTGTATAGGGAGTTCCAAATACAACCCAGTCTCTTAACATCCAGGGTATATTGTTGTCAAGCCCATGATGGCTGCTGAGGAGTACTTAGTTCCTCTTTGTTCTTGCTCAGCATACTCCAGATCCTGGAAATAAGGCAGGGTAGCTGTCTTAAAAACAACCATCAGTGTTCACCGGGAAGCATGTCCGAGACAGAGAGTGCTAGAGGACTATGCTGCTCTAAATCAGCTACATTGCCTCATTCCCAGGAGTTGGTGTTCTTCAGCTGAAAGCAAGTGGGTGGGTGGGATGTTCTTCTTGGTGATAGTCCTAGGCCTGGCCTGGAGATGGTGCTGCCAAATCCCTGTTCTCGTCCTTTATTCACCACATTACACTATCTGCCTTTTATATTACAGTATGTAAGCAGTGGGGCTATGACTACATTAGGCTTTTCCCTCTAAAGCAGCAGGGCCCAACCTTTTTTGGTAGGTCTGCCATCTGGTAAACATCTCATCCTCCCCAAGTACCACTCAGGTCCATTTCTCCTGCCCTGTGCTCTGCCCAGTTGGCTGCTATGCTTTCTGCTCCCTGCCCTGTCTGCCACCGTGTTCTTTGCTCTCTCCCCTACCTGCCACGTGGCATCCAGGCAGAGGCTGCCTGTGCCACTTGCAGCACGTGCTATGCATTGGTCACTTCTGCTCTATAAAGTTTCTAGCTCTTGCTGCCATGGGGACAACTCCACCATTGGTAGCAATGATAACTGTCCCACTTGGCCATCAGTGCTTTGACCATGATGTCACATTACTCTCCCAGGACAAGGTCTTTATGACACTGATGGGAACACTAGTACCTAGTTTAATTTTGCACTCTTCCTGTTTGGGGGGAACTGGGTTTGGCAACAGCCAGGAGCTGATACAGATAAGGCCTTAAGTGTGGTCGTTTGTCCCAAGTGAAAATTAAGCTAGCTTCTGAGGAAGCAGTTGGAAGGTTTTACTCGGAGGACTCATGGCAGGAGGTGATTGCTGTGAATGGAATTGAGGCAGTGTAATCCAAGTAGTCATTTCTATAGTATTTAAAAAGCAGGAGAGAAAAATACCATGGGCAGGTAGATTTCAGATGGTGTGCACTGTGTGGT